CATGGTAGAGATCATTCTCTTTGCGTATATAATAAAAAGCTTGATGTCTATTATGTCGAGTTGCAAGCGTTTTTTGAGTGTAATAAACACTGCTTGTTGAAAGCTGACATTTACATACCCTATGTAAGCTTGGTGTTATTCAATGACTAATCCATTGTTTTTTCCATACACAATTCATATTTACCTCATTTTCTATACCTACATTCTCTTTATATCCCCTTCTTTGGATCAACATACTCAACCTTAGCGCATCTCATCTCCTTACGCGATCGATTACCATTACCAAATGCTGTGGCTCTGAATTCTCTACACATGCTGCCAAACTACGACCATCGTAGACTCAAATTGTCACTTTCTCGGGCCGCTCGTAGGCCTAATTCTTGGCGCTCAAAATCAGCAAATCCTAAATCAGTGATTGATTTGCCTGTGCAGACACGCATCGAAGGCATTACCTTCCTTTCTTCACCAGCACTTAAAAATGAAATTCAACCTGTGCCCTGCCTGGCCGGGTTGGTCACTACGCTAGCAGGCCGAGAGGTAGGTCGACGCGACCTGGTTGTCTGGACGGAAGCAGAAAAACCAGTTAATGGGGATCTAGTCACAATGCCGGATACAGAGACGACTGCATCAGTGAGTGTTAATTTAACTATTTTCTAATGATCGTTATTGGTTGACTGGTGTTTTAAGTCTCGATAATTGAGATTTTTAATTGAGGCCCAAATTTTACAAAGCATCTCACCATCTCATTCAATTCTCTTATCCAATAACGGCCAAGCTGTGTGATCTAATTTACTTATTCATTTCCCCAACCTCTACAACCTATTTTCGATTTACGTATTTTTCGAGTACATCAGTATTTTTTGAATAAGTGCCTAATCACCCTAGATCACTTAAGTGATATAAGAACCGGTAATGTGAGTAGGTCTTATGATTTCACAGAATTTAATTTAACTTTGCCTCTTACAAGGCTATCTTATCCAGCGGGAACTTAAGTTTCTACCGTGCCTTCGTCTCCTCAGTACCCCCATTCGGATTCGATAGCAGATCGTGAATATTACGACAACAGCACGATCATGGGTGCCAGTGGGTCACAAAGCAGCTATTACGCTCAAGGCAAATCAGGCCTCTCAGGTTACGTTTCGGTATCGGATCCCGCTGTTAACGCTGACAAGTTTCATTACACGTGATTTGATTTTTATTTTAGTTAGCTATTTGATAGGCTTTTAAAATACCTAGAATCCTAGATCATGTTAGGATCTGAAGAATTCGATGTCAGAAATATAGAGTGATGAACTTTTATCGTTGCTTTGACGCAATACATATCATGGTGATGAATTGAGATCCACATTCAGGGGGATCGCAGCCATTAACCTGTCACTGAGCAACTTTTTAATAGGATTTCATAACTAGCAATAAAACAGCCTAGGGTAATCTCTTAGTGGAGTCTGAATATTCACTTTGCAAGTATGGAAGATGCGTTGGCTTAAATCTGATTTGGGTCGATTATCGCAGAATATTATAGCCTCGTTTTTTTTATAGGATCAAAAATATTTCAATGGAAACATTATTCGAGGGTAATCTTTAGATCCCATACGTATAACTTTTTAGATGTGTATTAATTGCCTGCGATGTGAATGCTGGTAATAATTTTAGCTTGTTTTATATTCAATCGAAGCAACATCATTTTCACGCTAAGCACAAAATATACTTGGTTTCTCTTAATTCTATTATGAAACGGAATAATTTAATCCTAGGTATGATGACCAAGGTGGTTCGGCCTTTGTATGGCCGCGGTCTCTTTTAGTTGTATAGTAGTTGTTTGACCTTGCTTTCGCAACTTGTTTATATTGACAGGAAGACCTAGAGGAACGCACCTAGTCCGGAGTCCATAGTATGCATGATCATTTCCAGATTCGAACTGTAGACTTGCTACATTCCCAGACGCTTCGCCGGCATCGTCAGTGAGCATTGCCTTTCTTAGCACCACACTACAACTCATCAAAGATACCAATTGTCTGCTAAACAATTGTGATATCTCTCCTACCCTGGGCTACTCCTCAATCCTATATGCTTTTATTACCCCTTCACTATCACAATTTCTTACTTGCTTATTTGAATTTGGTATGGCGTGCCCTTTTGAGCGGATTTCATTAGACTTCTTTACACCCCATGTTGGCTTTTTCAATTGCCATATTCGTCCACAATCCTCCTCCCATAGGTCCCATCAGTCTCCTTTTTGGCCCGTAGGATCCATTTTTCTTACTTCCTAGTCCAGATTTTCCACTTAATCTCTGTCACCATATTTGAATAGTCCAGGACAAAAGGAGAGATAGCACAACTATTTAGCAGACAATGGGTCAAATGATCTACTTCAATTGTCTCTGACGAGTTGTAGTGTTGGTAAGGCTCATTGACAATGCCTGCGAAACGACTGGTAATGTAACAAGTCCGCGGTCCGACTGGAAATTATCATGTATACTATGGACTCCGGACTATGTGCGTTCCTCTATGTCTTCCTATCAATATGACCGAGTTGCGAAAACAAAGTCAAACAACTACGAATTAGTCTAAGTTTTCCATACTGCGGACTGAGCATTCATGTAACTCAACTCAAATTTATCATATAGCGGTTTGGATACTCAATCACTTGATAGGATATTTCGATAATAGAAGACGTGTGTTTTCTCATTTATACTAATTTGAATTTTTGAGGTTAGATAACAGTCCATGATACTAAAGCTAAATTGCATTCTTAGAACTCTGCTGATATCTTGGTGATTTTAAAAAGAACAGGATATGGACCTTGCTTGAAAACGAAGCATCCTGTATAAGAGCTTCATTCATCCTATTTCGTTTAAGGTGATGATGATCTAGTACTTTAATTTTCTCACAATGTTATGAGTAGACCTCATGTTCACATAGCCTTGATTCACACAAGCTATTCTCATCCAGACAGAACTTGGTTGTTTTCGACTTCCCCCGAGCTGGTCTCATCAGCATTCCCGGCGTAACTTGAACCCGGGTTATGAGAGTTCAGCGTATAGCCTCGACGCACTAACGACTACGCTAGACTGATACGATTGACCTTGGGCTACATGACAGAAGTGAATTTTAAGGTGGCCTAGGACTTTTCCGTATCACACTTCTGTGGTGGAATTTTTGACTAAGCAAAGTTGTGTTTGCTATAGCAATTGACTAGGTTACCTATTTTCTATTTACGTCTAGGCTTTTGAGACTACATCACATCTACTAGTAGTCTCCAAAGCCTACTTCTAAACAAAGAAAAATATTGTAATTATAAAAAAATTCTTTTATTTCTTATGCTTTAAATAAATTTTGATTGGAGTGATCCTCTTGGTACGAAGTCTAAAATTGGACCAGAATCGGGTTCGGAATGACTAATAAAATAAAATAAAATAATTGGAATACTTTTATAATAAATGTGCTTGTCTGTGAAGTTTAGGCCTTTGTATCTTCTAAGTTGTCTTCATATTAACAGAAGGTTTGCTACATTATAATGATAAAGTTTTGCAACCAATTGCTTCGGACCTTACTATTGAAAATTTGGTTTAAGATCTGTAACTTGGTCTCACAGGAAATTGAAGGGAAGTAGTGCCTTGGAATTGTGTTGTCGAGTGATTGGTTCACTCTTCCTCGATTCCGGATAGTCCGTGCTAAGCTTTCGTCTGTAGAATCATCAGAACTGAAAACTATTTTTTAGAATCTTTGCCTTGAGCCAAGAGTGTTTGCCGACTAACCAGAGACATAATTTTAGTCGGCTATTATTCTTAGCTTAGGGTTTGGTGAAGTTTATTAAAAAAGTTTTTTCGTTTACAAGCTGTGCTATTAAGCATTCATTGCGATCCGAAGAAGTTGCTCAATTACTCTTTATTACACTGGCTATTTAGCCTTTTCATGTACAAACTCTTTATATATCTATTGCATGTTTATTTCCCAAGGATTTATCTTGTTTCATATTTCATTTCATTAATATTTTAACAGGATGTTATAGAAAAACGTCTGAAACTGGAAGCGGAGAACCCCCGAAGCCTTCTGCGAGGTGTCAAATCCATTCATACCAGAAATGAGCTCGACGCTACTGGGATTGCAGTTCGTCAATCCGCGGAGCGTCGTAATGATAAAGAGATTATTAATCTACTCAACCAAGTTAGTCGGTATCCCGTGAACACTGCTCCGGATCCAGAACAACTCCTTAGTCAGTTGATGAAACGTCCCTCTGCCTGGATGACCGATGAAAAATAACTGGGCTTTTTGAGTATACACTAGAACAGCGCCCTTTTTTCTCACGCCTAGCTTTTTTATGTATTCTCCAAGCGTTTTTTGGCTGTGTATTTTTGAGATAAAACAGAGAATTGCTGGGCACACTTGCTTACTTTCTGTTTACGATGGTTTCCATCTGCGAACATCACCTAAATACGAATTCAATCGGGGATCGGCTTATTTATATTACTTAATCGTCCTTACTCATTATTCACAAATGAATATTTTATTCAGATTTTGCCCCTGTGGGGGTGGTTCAAAAATACATTTACATAATATTAGTAATTTCAGTTGTCGATGGATGTATGTTCCGCAGTACAGAGCAGCTATACCCTTTGGTAACTGCGTTTTTACATATGCCTCCGCATTAGTAACGGCATCGTGAGCCCTCTAAATTTATAGAAGTAGGTTGACCTTGTCGCAACCTGGACTTGTTGTCAGGGCGACTTAGTAGAACGCACCTAGTCCAAAGTCGTCTGTCATAGCAGTTGTCATGATTCCCAGCATAAGACAGTGGACTTGGTACCTTCTCAAACGTTTCGCCGGCATCGTAGTCGACATCATCAGTGAGCTTTGCCATTCTCCGTGCCAAGCTACCAACTCGTCAGAGACAAGTGAAGTCAATCTCTCGAAAAACGTTCTGCAGGAAACGGCTACACTATCACTGATCTTTCTGTCCTGGCCTATCTATTTACTCTTTACCATCTTATAAAGCCTCCGCCCCATCACAACTTCTATCTTTTTTACATTCCGCTCGTCAAAATCCGTGCCCCTTTGTGGCAAATCTAGTGTGGCCTCATCACTCTTGCTATTCACCCCGACCTCTCTTTCGATCAGCTAATCCGACTCGGGCCTCCAGTCCGGATCCCCTCATTGTCTCGTAGATCCGTTCCTTATCTTTCTGGTTGACCGAATTCACTCGGTTCCAGTCTGAGTGTGCATTTCACTCCAGGCGCTATTTCTCAAAGCCATAGAAGCACGTACACTTCCGCCTCTGAGCAAAGCGCCTAAGCTATGATTGTTATGTTTGCAGATATCAGGCCTTCCCTTCACGGGTCGTATCCTTGATTAAACCCACGTTACCTGGGCAAACTGAGGACGCTTTTCTCTGGTCGCATTCGCCATGTCAAGTGGATTTCTAGTACATTTTGGCCATAACGCCGAATTTCTGTGACGGTTTGCTTATCCGTCTGTCCAAACTCCCTTACTGCCAGGCCCCCAAAGTTGTACTGTTTTATTCCAAATGGACATCACTCATTGCCACGTCTTCGCTCAATTGTCGAAAACTCCCGCTCCCCACTTTCCTCATCGCGATCCCTTTTCCTCAGATCAGTGAGAGATCTCTCATCCAAGCGTCTCTTTTTTGCTGGTCTTACTCTTCTTGTTTTACTAGAGTTTGCTTAAGCAGCAAGCAAGGTTATCGCCAACTCTACCTTCCTTAAATCCCCTGTTAGATTTTTCTCCCCAAGGATGTCAGTAGCCTCCCTAATCTTCCGCTTCCTTGTGTTGTCACCTTATGGGGCCCTTCTTTTTTGTCTTCCAATTGATCTCGTCTCCAGTCCGTGCGATGTGTTCTGCTAGTTCTGATCTTTTGGTATCCATTTTCCTGCAGAGCCTCTGATCTTTGATTCGTGTGCTAATTTTTCTCCCTGTTTCGTCAATATATTTCTGTTCGCAGTAAACTCCTGAACAATCCAATTTATCTACCCTTTCATATTGCGTCGGTAGACTTGTGAAAAGTGTTGATTTCTTTTTCATGGCCACCTGAATATTCCATTTACTCAATATTAGCCGTAGTTTCTGAGTTAGTTCGCAGGAAGGTAGACATATCCACTTTGGTGAGCCCTTCATCGTCCTTACTGTTCTTTCATAGTCCCCGTTCTGTCATCGGCTTTGCACGGCCTGTATCTTTCTTTTTATCATTGCGATTGAGTAGTCATTGCCGAGGAATATCCTCGTCAATTTGCCTAGCTTCTCGTCCCAGAATTCTACATCCGTTAGGCGTAGGCTTCGGATGAGCATGCTCTTCATTATTCCAATCTTTAGCCTGTAATTGTGATGGGACCGGAGATAGAGTATTATCCCCGCATAGGACTTCTTTTTGAGCGTCTCATTAGAGCAAATCACTTCAACGCCCAGGAACAGTAGCCGCTCACCTTCCTCTACTTCCATCTCGGATTGAATTTTTCATCAATCTGGTTTACACACTTCATAAACTCTTACACGTGACCAAAGTGCGAATAAGTGATCCAGGTACAGCATGAGCGCTGCCAGTTGTAGCGGTGCCATTTTGAAGCTCTCTTCTATTTTGTTTATGTTTGCGCTTGCCAAAAGTGGTGAGAGCGGCGATCCCCTGGGAAGTCCAAATATTTGTTGATAGATTTTCCCTTTGAATGTAAAATAGATTGTCCCTATTGTCAAGTTGATTAGTTTTGTTAACGATTCCCTACCGATCCGTTGTGATTCCAGGATATTCTTCTCACGGTCCAGGATTTCTAGCAGGGCTGTTAGCACATTTTCTCCAGAGATATTTGTACACATCGATTCCACATACAAACTTAGCAATAAGTCAGTTTCTTCCAGTGCGATATTTTTTATTTTTTGTGCAAATTCCTATGAATGTTTCACCGTGTTTGATAACCTCATTTAATTTCTTGAATTCCAAACATATGAACTTTGCCAATTTGTGTGTTGCTCCATACTTGTTGTTGACTATCAGTCTTAGTGGCTCGCCTTCTTTGT